TGTCTTGGGGGCTGGCAGGGGGAGGTGTTGGGCAGGGCAGGGATCGGGGCAGCTGGAGGAGTTGGTGGAGCTAGCAGGGGTCCCCTCATGGTCCCCTCCCACAGCTCCCCCTCACCCACCCCCTACTTACCAGCTCAGAGTCTGGCTGCTGCCCTGCTCAGCCACCAGTGACTGCCCGAATCATCAAAGATCTCCGAATCTTCGGAAAAGATTCGGAGAGCTTTGAATCGATTTGGACATTTTTATTGGTCTCCTGATTTGATTCAGATTTGGAGATTTGGCAACCAAATCGGTTCGAATCTCCTCCGAATCGAATCAGCACCTGAAGCGTCACACAGCCCTAATGCTTATAGGGAGGAAAAGGTACCATTGCTCTCTCAAAGTAAAGGGAGACTCTAATGGAGTATGTCCAACAAAACAAACTCACTTGCCACTCATATTACCACATCTTCTCACATACCACACACCTCCAAAATAAGGTACATACCTTGTTTTGGGGAAGACAGAGTGAAGGAAAAAAAACAAACTTTTCCAGAGTTATGGCTGCATACAGCAGGAAAAGTCTAATCAGCAGCTCACTCTCCCCCCCCCACGCCCCGTTTTAACCCTTTCACAACTCAACTGTCAGCAATTTTCTTGGGTGCTAAGCCAAAATCTGAAACTGGACTTGGACAGATCTAGGATTTTGAAAAAAGCTAAAAAAACCCCAAACCAGTCTGCAGGACTGTGAAATAGGAGAAGAGAGACAAGGAGTAGCTACACTGCAAATTCTTCAGCAAAACCGCCAAGACAGAACATCAAAACCATTAAAAAAGAGACTGGGTCGTGTGCACCTGTTGAGTGGAAAGCAATCGTCAGGAATCAGGTAGATGAGCCATGAAGTCAACTGACTTCCTCAACACAGCCTAAACAGAAATGCCACTTCTGCTAATCTGGGCAGAAAAATCACGGTCCCCCCCCATTTAGGACATGGACCCCAATTTTGGAAGACTATTTTTTGGGGAAAAGGTGGCAAGGAAATGTGGCAAGCAAATACATACGGTAAATATACTGCATATGCCCAGTGATCGATTGTTTCTCCCTGTCACTAGAAGTAGCCAGAGATAATTCTATCTGGGTCCTTACACTGTACCCATCCCCATGGCACTGGAAAGCCAGGGCTGCTGATAGCAGAAAACTGCCATAGCAAGCAACTTCCAGGTAGGACATTGTGTCAAGTATAGGCAGCTGCCTCATCACCAGGGATCCTGATTTTCCCTGATAAAAAAAAAAAAATCACAAATTCTCTGATTAAACTCCCAGAATCTGCATTTAAAATAAAATGCCACTACATATATAGGTATCAATTGAACAGAATATTTTCTTGATATATTTACAATTTTAAAGCAATTTTGAAACCTAGCAGTGCCTCAATCATTATCATAAAATAAATTCTAAATAGCTATAAATGTTGGTATCTGATTTTGGGGTTTTTATCATGGAAAACCAGAGCTCCCCCTGTCCCCTTAGCTCACAGAATGCAGGTCCAGGCCCCTTACTCCCAAGCCACAGCCCCCCCAGCCCTGCTGGTGCTCCTCACTCCTCCCACAATCCCCCCAGCCCTGCTGGTGCACCTCACTCCCCCCACAGTCCCCTGCCCCCCGAGCCCTGCCAGAGGGGGCCCCCAGCTGCCAGGGCTACAGGGCTAAGGACCCAGGTCCAGATCCCCCTACCCCCCCACAGCAGCACTGAAGCCTGGGCTGCTGCTCATGGCAGGCAGCAGCTGCTGCAGCAGAGTGGAGCATGGAGCCTGGCTCCCACACCCTGCTGCCTACCTGCTGTGTGCTCAAGCTGGGGGGGGAAGGGTGAGGTGTGGCTCCCTGCTGCTGTGCACACTCCCGGGGGGCCAAGACAGACCCATGCTCTGTGCACAGGCTGGGGGTGAATGCAGGCTGCCCACTGCAGGCTCTGGCTTCCTGCCCTCCTGCCCTTCCTGGGGGCCTCTGCAACCCAGTGGGTGCAACCCAGTGCTTCAGGACACAACGGGGCTGCAGAGGGAAGCTCCTTGCTGCTGCGAGCTCTGCACTGCCTTGGCAAGGAGCCCCCTGCCCGTGTGGCAGAAGTGGGGCAGTGGTGCAGAGTTGTGTCCCTTGCTACTGCCATGCAGGCAGGGAATGCCTTCCCAGGGCAGCATGGAGCTTCCTTGTGTGGTCCCGCTCTGCCCTGCAGCATCATTTCAGATCTGCTGGGCTGTGGAGGCCCCTGGGGAGGGCAGCAGGTGCAGCAGCCCAACCCCAACCCTGCCCAACACCCTCCCTCCCTCCGTATGGGGGCCTCCAATTCCACCCCCACTCTCAAACTTACCCACGGCAGCTGCTCTCTAGGCTGCCTGGTGGCCATGTGTATATACATCGGGGTGGGCAAAATATGGCCCACGGGCTGGATCTGGCCCACCAGGCCATTCTATCCAGTTCACGAGGCCCCTCTAAAATTTAGAAAATTATTACCAGTCAGTAGCTGCCTGTCAAAAATCTGATGAGGCACCTGTAGCAGGAGGAGCTGGTGGCAGGACCCTGCAGTGGCAGCAGCAAGGCCCACCCAGCCCTGTCCCACCCCCTGCTTCCAAATGGAAGTTTCTGCCTAGTAGTGGCTTCTAGCCTGGTGGCCATGGGGCTGTTCCCCCGCCCTCCTTCTGTCTGAGAGTGAAAACTCAGATAAGAATGGGTGGAGCAGGGGGCAGGGGGTGAAGGATTGCCGGTGCAGCAGGAGCTAGCCTGGCCTGGCTGGCACTATGTGGTTCCCAGCTGCATGGCTGGGACCACAGGACGCAACAGGAGCCAGCCTAGCCCACCCTGACCCTCACGGTTCCCAGCTGGCTCCTGCTGCACCATGTGGTCCCGGCCATGCACCTGGGAACTGTGTGGTATCAGCTGGGCCAGGCTGCCTCTGGTACCACATGGTTCCCGGGTGCATGGCCAGGACTGCATGGTGCAGCAGGAGTCAGCTGGGAACTGCAGGAGCCAAGTTGGCTCCTGCTGCATTCTGTAGTCCTGGCCATGCAGCCAGGAACTGTGCGCTGCCAGAGTGGCGGGTGGGCACGAAGGTAGGGAAACGGCAGGGGAAGGGCGGCAAGCAGGGTAAGTGGAGGTGGATAGCGGCGGCAGGTGGGGCAGAGACTGAGCAGGCTGGAGTGTGGGACTTGGGCTAGCAAGGGCTCCATGAGATCAGGCCAGCTCTGCCCCTCTCTCTGCTGGCAGCCCAGCCACATGCAGTCCTGGGGCTTGCCAGAACTGCGCACTGCTGTGGGTCTTTGCCTGCCGTGGCAGGGGATGTGCACAATGAGAGAGGGGGGCGTGTGTGGGAGGCATGTTCATAGGGGGGGTCCCACATGCACACCCCACCATACACATGCATCCACACCTCACCATGCATACCCCACACCTTCTCACACACCCCATTCACCTTTTTCCTCCACACGTGCCACAGCCCCCCACGAGCCCCGTATCCACCCACACCCCACACATCCATACACACACCCACCCACACCCCCCACAACCCCATACACATACCCACACCCTCCCCTACACCTCACATATACACATACCCACACACACCCAGCCCCCCACAAACTCTGTACCCACACACCCATTCCCCCTTGCTCTTCCATCCCCACCCAATATACAAAAGTAAGACTTCATTTTAAGCTATTATGCAATCACTTCTATGTATACTATGCACACATAAATCAGGACAAAAATATTTTTTGAATTCCAATTAATGTATGTTGTAGCAGATGTTTGATTTAAGAATATAATTTGGTTTTTTTCTAGTACCAAGATGGCAAACCCCCTTGCCAAAAGGAGTACTTCTGGGAGCAAGGGGAGGGAGTTCCAGTGGCAAAGATCAGGGGCTAGCGGGGAAGGACTTCTGGTTCCACAATGGCGACCAGGGGGCAGGGTACCTTTCAAGGGGCGGGGCTACGCTTGTGGCACTCGACAGCTCACTAAAACTTGTTAAGCAGCCCTCCAGCTAAAATAATTGCCCACCCCTGATATACATGCACATGGTGCCCCCTGCCTGACCCCCCTCCTCACACTTCCCCGCAGCCCCTTGCAGGCTGGAACTCTGTCAGCCTGCAGTGAGCTCTTTGCAAAAGTGCAAAATCTGTAGGTTTCTCTGTTAAAATGAAAAATATGCTGTTTCCTCAGATAAAGGGGGAAATCCGCGTTTTTCTCCATTTTCCCATGGGAAACAGAAAACCCAGATCCCTGCTCATCATACAAGCAACCACAGTGCCCAAGTAACCTAACCTCCAAGATGCTCCACTGGGTATTTCTTTTACTGTGGATTCTAAGTACAATAGAAACACATGCTAAACTTTGTTTATATTCTTTAACAAAGCCCACTTACCTTCTCTCTGTGCTCAATATATACATATGGATTAAAAAGTTAATAAGAAAAATAAATAGATCAAATGTGTACACATTGTTATAACAGCACCATATTGTGGTAATTTGTATGGCAAGAAGGCAAAGGAAAATGGTAGTTCCCATATCAAACCCAATGGGTTATGCAAAATAACCTGTGCCTTTACTACATCCACAGAATCCTTTATTTTTAAACCAGACAGCTAAAAATACTCTAACCCCCTTGTTCTTGTCAGCCTCCAAGAGTGCACTTTTACTTATTTATTTACTATTCTGTTTAAAATGTCACAGGATTAACAGTAGAACCGATTGTTACAGCAGCTGTCCTTGCTTGCATCTTTCCCCTCAGTTTTGCCCATTCGCCTTCAGAATTTGGCAGGACTTTGCTGTCCTAGTCTTGAGCTCTCACAGAGCATCTCAGCTCTAGTCTGAAGCAACCCCTAATATTCCAACCTCTGTGCTGTCTTGAGTAAAGATTGCTACCATATCATCTAGCTCAGTTGTTGGTTTTATGGCAGGAAAAGAAAAGCTAGCATGACAGCTGGTCCTCTGAAGCCAAACACTCCTTCCCCAACAATCAAATCATCCTTTAACAGGTCTCTGCTGATGAAGGACAACAGAAATCCACAGACAAGGTAAATCCACCTGATCTGCAAATTTTACCATTTTCTCCAGAATTTCCAATGTGATCCAAGCCTCTACCCCATCAGACCAATACATCCTTACAGTACAGTATAGTAAATTATGCAGTGCTGTGCTTTGAATCTGTAGCCAGACAGACCGAAAAAGTAGCACTAAGGCATGGGAAGCTCTCTTACATTCATCTCAATGAGGTTGAGCCCTGAAACCCCTTATCACAGTTTATTCAATATGAACTAACATTTCTCTTGCTATCCCTCACATAGGAACCATCCAGACCCTATGCCTTACTCAGCACACGTGCTTGAACTGGGGGTACCAGATGCATCCTGGACAAAACGGGGGTTTGACAAACCATTGTGTGAGAACAAGGCTGCAGGCGGTAAAGGAGTAAACAGTTGTACATTCCATCAGATGCTCTTGTCTGGTCTTCGGTTCTCATGACTAGGACACCACACAGGCTGACTGTTTGGTTTTATTTCCCGTGAGGGAATTTTTACCTGCAATAAAAATAGATAAAAATAAAGACAAGATTATAAGATTTTAATTAAGCTTTCAGCAAACACTTCAACCTTCTCTCTCTATACCCCTCGTTTTATACATGTATTTATCCACACCTCTAGGGGTTTTTGCTTGTTGCCTTCTGCAAAAATCAACACATGCACACAGAGGAAGTGCCATATATGGATTCCAAAAACCAAAAAACCCCCAAAATAGACAAAACCTAGACAGCTTTGCACACTCTAGTAAAATAGGTTCCGTTTCCTAGTCTGCAGCTGTAAGAGTCTGAGTTGTGGCTCCTCAGCTCACAGATGACAAGTAGGGCCAGACCATGTCTCTGCATGGATGGGAGACCTCCAAAAGTAGAGACAAAACAGCCCACTTGGTCATCTCATCTTCCTAGTTTTAACCCATTACTCCAAGTTATCCCCTGCCACCACTCTGGACATATTCCCCCTTCTCTCCATCTCCAACTCTTCCCTGAATCGGTCTCATTTAATACTTACACAGATAACTTCTCGCCCCTTAGTTTAGTTAGAAACTGACTGCTCTCAGGGATGGGCAGATGAGAACAGGATGGATTTCAATGCTGACAAGTGCAAGGTGCTGCACCTAGGGAGGAAGAACCAGCAGCATACCTACAGGCTGGGGAACTCCCTTCTTGTCAGTGCAGAGGCAGAAAAGGATCTTGGAATCATTACTGATGCCAAAATGAACATGGGCTGACAGTGTGGGGATGCGGTCAGAAAGGCCAACCGCACCTTGTCATGCATCCACAGACGCATCTCGAGCAGGTCCAAGGAGGTGACCCTCCCCCTCTATGCGGCACTGGTCAGGCCGCAGTTGGACTAGTGTCCAGTTCTGGGCGCCGCACTTCAGGAGGGATGTGGACAGCATTGAGAGGGTTCAGAGGAGGGCCACCCGCATGATCAGGCGGCAGCAGGGCAGGCCCTACGAGGAGAGGCTAAGGGACTTGAACCTGTTCAGCCTCCACAAGAGAAGGCTGATGGGGGATCTAGTAGCCTGTTACAAACTAGTCAGAGGGAACCAGCAGGCATTGGGGGAGTCCCTGTTCCCCCGAGCACTCCCAGGAGTGACTAGAAATAACAGTCACAAGCTGGCAGAGGGTAGATTCAGACTAGACATCAGGAGGCGCTACTTCACAGTCAGGGCAGCTAGGACCTGGAACCAACTTCCAAGCGAAGTGGTGCTGGCTCCAACCCTGGGGGTCTTTAAGAGGAGGTTAGATGAACACCTTGCTGGGGTTGTTTGATCCCAGTACATTTTCCTGCCACGGCAGGGGGTCGGACTTGATGATCTGCTCAGGTTCCTTCCGACCCTACCAACTACGAAACTATGAAACTAGAAGTATTAGTTCAGAGCCTGAAAGACATACCAAACACCTACTATATCAGAGGCTAATACAAAACATGGTGTGCAGGACTGCCCAAGGCCAGGGATAACCCTAGTGAGAGGCCTAGACTTCTGCTCCTATCTGTTGGAGGAGGGCTGAGAGACTGCAGAGATTTCTACTGAGATGTTTTATCTTCTGCTCTTTCTTCCCATCTGCAACTTTCCCAACTCCTGAGAGGGAAACATCTCCAGCCCTGGGCCCTACCTGGCTCCTCTGTCCTGTGCCTCCCACACTCCCATACTATTTCCTGTGATGTTTCATTCTGTAATCTTCCTCCATTTTCCAACTATTCCAAATGCAGCCGCTGAAGTTAACCCTCCTTCCTGGCTGCTGCTTCTCTTCCGCATCCAGTCAAGCACCACATCTTTGTCTGCAAAGCTCTACATCCCTCTTTCACTGCTGAATCTCAACTCTTAAGCCTTTTTCTCTGCCATCACCTTCTACCCTTTCTCCAATGCAGGGCCAAAAGAAATCCCAGACAAGGCAAATTGTATGTAGAACAGCAGCCCTTTCCCTGTGCTCCTAGTGACTGCCCTCTCTTTAAAGCAGTGGCAAATAATTCTAGTTGCCAGCTCTCCACAAAGAAGCTTTTGATGACCTGTATAGAATCTGGGCCATTCACTTTATACACAGACTCTCAGATCACCTTTAAAACAATCTGTATAGCCATAGGCAGAGCAGGCAAACCTTCAATATGTGAACCAGGTGCAAACCCAGGCAGTATTTTCCTGTATTTTCAGACAAACATCTCCAGTGCAGCAGCAACATAAAATTAACAAGATTCTGGTCAGGTTCAGAGCTGCTGCTATTCAGAACCCTGCAGGCAACAGTAAAACTCAAGAATTGTGCTAAGAAAAAAAAGAAAGAGAAAGCTGTGAGCAGTAGCAGTATTGGTAGGCAAAAGAAATATTTGCAGGGAAAAATAGGGAAGGCTCCAGTGGGAAGGGAGTAGGAATGACGGAACCTGGAGGATCCCACTTTTCAAGAGCATGGGAGGAGTAGCTTTCAGATTTATAAAACACCAACTCCAGGGTTAATTTAACATATAACATTCAAAGCAGCAACCTGAGACAATGTCCTAGCAGAAGCCCTCCTCCCACCTCATCTTCCCCATCCCACTAGTGGATCTTCCCATCATTACTTTGGAACTATTCAAGGGGATAAGGTTCAAGCCTCACTGATTAGGTAAGCTTGCCAAAGTCATGTTTTTCAACTGTAAACAGCTCAAGACAGGGACAATGGTTCAAATTCACAGGCAATGCATAAGTTATACGCCATCTCCTCCTCAATAGTCCCAAGGATCCACTTACACAAATGATTGATTTGTTAGGGACACTTTTGAACAGGCACCTCCTCCTTCAGTATTTGTGTAAAATTTCAATGCGATCTACATGCACCAGGCTTTCATGCTGGCTTGAAGTTTTTGCTGCCCGTATAAATCATTACAGGGTATAACATGGTGAGAGTCAAATAAAACAGCCATCATCATCTGCCCCAAACTGGACTCAGTGCCTTGCATTACAGCTCCAGGCCCAAAGAACTATTGACCTCATTTCACCGTGACATAAAAGAATGACAGGTTCAGGGAGGCAGGAGGGCTATTTTACAACAATTGGAGTCAAGGGTTAGAAATATGGGGTTTGTGTCATCTTAAATGGTCTCTTTAGAGAGATAGATGATAGATCAATGAGTTCACAGTTCTCTAGTTTTGACACTAGAGGGTACTGCAAGTCCTCAAGTTGATTCATCCAAGAGGACTGCCCAGTAAGTCTTTTTATGATTGCCATCCTTTTTCCCTCCCTCTGAGGAACAGGACCAGCAGTGTACTTGCAGTGCAGATTATCTGCGCAAAAGGCATGCAGTTCTGAGGAAGAGGGAGGGGGTGGGGGTAAGGAAGAATTCACACCTATCTCCCCAAATTCCAAAAGGTAGATCCTAAAAGTAGGCTGGCTGTGATCTAAATTGACCAGTGTATCAATGCCTTGTCTCAGTCTCAATGATGTTGGCTTTAATTTGTCTCACAGAGGCAAAAATATTTATAAGAATCCAGCTGATCACTATACTTTAATCCAGAAGTGGGCAAAATGCGGCCCGTGGGCCGGATTCGGCCTGCCAGGCCATTCTATCTGGCCCGCAGAGCCCCTAAAAAATTTGGAAAATTGATATTAATCTGCCCCTGGCTGCCTGTCATGCGGCCCTTGATGGCTTGCCAAAACTCAGTAAGCGGCCCTCCGCCTGAAATAATTGCCCGTCCCTGCATCCCATCTTCCACTCCAATATCCTCCTTGCTTTCTAGGTCTCAGGAGAAACGTCTCCATCCATTTCCCAGAATGGCCACTTCGAATTGATTAAATTCCCCCCATTTCACATTCTTCAGGGCATACAACAATCCCTATTAGGGGTGAGTCGAGAAGAAATTCTTTCCTCTTAGGCAGTTTATTCCCCATTGCAGTAACTCCCTCTGAAACATCCAGCATAGGCCATGGTCAGATAAAGCAGATCAGGCTAGATGGTTTCTAGGCTTGTTGCATTCTGACAATGTTTTGCTATTCATGAGCTAGTACATTAATTTAAAGCTGGTGAAAGCCTCTGTCATTCACAAGTAAATCAGACCAAATATTTATATATGTAGAGGAAGGTGCTCTAGAGCCCTGCTTCTCAAACTATCGGATGTGGAGGACCGGCAACTTTTTTTCCAGTGGGCCAAGGACCAGTGCCCAGTTCAGCCGGTGGCAGCAACTGCGTGTAACAGTGCTACACAAATGTGCGACCGGCTGTTTCTTTCTCTTTCCTCACCTCGCACAACATGATGTCACCTGGAGTGTTGGAACGTATGAACTGTGGCGCTATGATATATCAATGTTATGCTTCTGAAAATATATTTCTTTCTTTCCTGGCAACTTGCTGTGGACCGGCGAACATATTCCTTTCTTTCCTGGCAACTCACTGTGGACCAGTGGCTCGCAGACTGACACCAGTCTGTGGACCACCACTCTGAGAAGCACTATTCTAAAGCACACGGTATGATCTAAGACATCTCAGGCTTCGCCTGCCATGGATAGTCTCAATCATTTTAAGTGGTGGGGGTAGATTAAATGGGATTCTCCCTCACTTTTCTCTCCTGATTTCCCCCACCCCATAACTTTGTTATAGTAACACTGTATCCATCCAAGTAAAGCTGAGTTGGGATGGGATGGATGCATGTGCACCTGACACCTGTCAGTGTGATTGATGGAGCTCTAGAAACACCAGGTACTCTGTTGCCACCTAGGAGGTCTGAGAACTTCACCATTACTTCTAGCTGGGCAACAATAAATCCACTTGAAACCTGTGTACACAATGGTGGAGGGGAATTATCAGCTTGGCCACCTAGGGGCCAACAGGGGGTCACATAAGTGATCTTCTTATAAAGTATTTCCCTTAAAATCCCTGAGATATTTTGTTACATTTGATACAACTGTCCTCCTTCCTCCCAGTCATTTTACAGCAGAGATGGTGGAGATGTGCCCATATTGAGTACAACTGACTCTGTCACTGAGGTTCTGGATTAGAAAGGGGCATGGAGGGGACATGAAGGAACAAGATTTACCTGAGGCGCTGCTCCGAACACTGACAGGTCTAAAGCTGATCAGGTCCTCTTCCTGTGCCTTCACAAGCACATACTCTTCTGAGAGCCCTTCACTGGCAAAAGAATTGGCCTCAGTGTCCGAGGTTGGGGGCCGTTTTGCCCTCCGGCTGAAAAACCCACTACCGAACCTTTTACCCTGCTTGGAGCCGGTCTGCCCATTGGCAACATCATTCTTCTTGGTGTCACGAAGGGACTCCTTAGATTTAGACTTGTATTTCATATCGAAATGGAACCTGGAAAGCAATTTCTGAGGACTCCGGCTTCCTTTGTTCAAGTTTTCAAGAGGTGGTTCAATTTCTGGTAGTATTTGCTCCACTGTGATCAGGTCATTCAGAAACTTGTTCAGCCGCTTCTTTGACTCACTTTCTTCCTCCTTTTTTTCCAATTTCCCCTGTATCTCCTGCTTCTGGCGCAGGGCCCGAAGCATCATTTCACGAGGGGCAGCCCCTGCCACTAGACCATATTTGGGGTTGATGATCTTACGAGACACAGTGGAGGAGTAAAGTCTTGATTTCTCAGCTCCTATTTGGAAAGGGTTAGCAATGTTCAGCTCCCGGTAGAGGTCAACCTCCTCTGAGATAGCATAGAGCTCTCGAAACTCAACATCAAACAACTCTACATGTTGCCCTGTCAACAGCAGGAGGATGTTTCTGTCTATATGTGAGGAGCTCCATGTGAAGCTGGAAAGAAAGAAGGTATTGTTAGGTTTTGCAATGAAAGTTATGAAAGCCAGACACAACCTACATGTCCAGTTCTGAGCTTTTGCTATCCAAGAACATAAAGCACTGTGTGCCATTTAATGGGCATCTTACCCACTTGAGTGTTTTCATGGTATATAAAGGGTATAATCCTGTTTTGGGGGGTTTAACCCACACAAAACAAACAAACAAACAAACACACACAAACACACACACATAAAACATGCGGACAGATCTGGCAGAGAAAGCCACGTGACCTCGAATTAGTTTTCCTTTCTAGGCAGGGGCACTGGTAGCCACTCTTAACCTGCTGTTTCTGCCTCTAAAAGCAGACTCTCTAAAGCGCTCTGCTAGCCTTTTTGAGAAGAGGAAAAACTGGCTACAGTGAATCCTGGGATATCCTGTTTGCCACCAACTACTAAGGAGAAGAAGCTGTCCCTCAGCCACATGTTTCATTGGCATGAGGGCACTATTCTCCCAAAAGGGTGTTTTGTGCTCTTTATCACTACACGCCACTTCCATAGAGCACTCAACTAGACATAGAGTTGAGGTAATAAAGAGACTGGACAGCTGGTAAGGAAACAAAGGGAAAAGACTCCCCAAGGAAATGCAAGGGGCAATCCTTATGATTGGAACCTGAACACTGCCTGGGTGAGAGTGACCCACCTGAATGACCCAGTGGCCACTTTTTCACCATCCACCATCAGGAACCGGGAGGCCAATGTGCCTTTGATCTTCCCCAGTGGCATGTAGAACCCAACTCCTGTCACAAAGCGCACGCGGATGTTCTAACAGAAAGGTGAAAACACAAAATGACAGCAAACAAGGCACAGAGAATCAGACTGGTCTTAGCTCCGGGCATCACCACACCCATTGTCACACCTCGCCATATCCTAGGCTGCAGATTATTTCAGATAAGACAGAAAAATATCAGAAGGGTTGCAGGAGGAAATTCCTAGTGCCGACTGTGTTTCCAGCATCTCTCCCAGCTCGTCACTAGTTTTTATATAGGTCACTCACTTCCATCAATTCACAGCCCCATCAAATAGGTTAATTCATTTGTGACCCTGCCTGCCCTATTCAGCTATTCATCTTAGCACAGAGAAGCTTGAAAAGCAGGCAGGACAAAGCTTTTGAAACCTACGGGAAGAAAATGATCCACAGTCTCCAAATCTGAGCTGCAGCTCAGAAAGCACAGCCCAGGAGGAGTGAATCAAAAGGGGCTCTAAACCATCTTTGCACCCTCTGAAATTTGGGGCTTGCTCCCAGTCACAAATAAGGTCCTCTGCCATCTCAGAGAGCTGGCAAACAGCATAACATGGCCAAGCCTTTGCCTGACCCCCTGAATACTTCTCTGCCGGGAGCTCTTCAAAGAGGGACAGTGACTCAGGCTCTCAAGTTCTGTTTTCATTTGTGTCATGACAACAGGAATGCATAGCTGGATTAACTTGGAAAAATGTGAGAAGTCTGGACAATTTTATGATGACAGGCTGGAGAAAAGAACAATCCCACTATTTGAAATATTCCAGAACAGTCCTGACTAAGCAGGGAAAGCGTGATTTTCTTGTCATGGGACTTTCCACATCAAGCGTCTGTCTGCATGTAATACAAGAGAACATATTTGAATATATAAGCAAGCACCAGGCTAATGAACACTTGTGCCTTTGCTTTAAAGGACCTCATGGAACAGGTGCCAACAATAGGCAAGATTACCATGTCTCACAAAAAAATAAACAGAAAGAAAAGAAAATAGACTATCAATATAAGCATACAGCAACATGCATGTCAGTGAGTGACAAGGTAGTTCAGCAATAATTTTCTTTACTTCAGCATGTTTCTAGACTAAATGAATCCTGTTTTAGGAGCTAAACAATGACAGCCTGTGAGAGTTAAAGGAATAAGCCCTGGGGTTAGGAGTCAGCAGTCTGATCACAGCTTCCTCACTACTCCCTATGAGGCCTTAGCAAAGTCACTTCACCCCTGCCTTATTTTTCAAATCTACCAGAAGAGTATCATGAGAGCTAATTAATGTTAGCGTAGCCCTTTGATCATATGAAGAATTTAGTACTATTATTACCAGCTTTGACAGCTTAAATATTATTGGCTTATAAAATCGACATATGGAAACACATACTTATAGGAGTCCAGAATTTCTTTAAGCTCCCAGTTTTCTGAGTACTGCCTCCGATTTTTAATCCACTGATTTCAGTAGGTTTGTATTTGGTCAGTTGAAATGCGCTATCATCAGTACAAACTCTGACTAATGGTAAGCAATAATACTGCTACTTTGCATTCTTCTACTGCTTGGTGTGTTTGCACAGCAGTTCAGACAGTAGCAAATTAATCCTCACAATACCCCGAAAGTATTATTACCCTGTTTCACACATGAGGCATCTGAGGGAGAAAGATGAAGTGACTTGCCCAAGGCCCTAGAGTGAGTCATCTGTGTGGGATGCTGAACACAGATTAGGTGAAGCACAGCAGAGGCAGGGGGCCCTTTCCAGCCTTTATACTAAAATGCATACCCATCTGGTTGTCTGCCCTTTCCAGTGTTTATACTAAAATGCATACCCATCTGGTTGTCTGCAGATTCCCACCCCCACCGAACCAACATGAATTTGCTGTTTGCCAGTCAACTGCCCCTGGTCCTCAGATGTCAAAGGCAACCTCTGTTCTTCAAGTCAGTCAGAGCTATGACTGAGTTCTTTACCAGGAAGTAGTTTATCTACCAAGAGCAGCCTGGTGTCAGCACAAGTTTCTTTAGCAAAGCCAGAGGTGTCACAACAGCATTTAGCAAGTGGAGATTTCACTGGATTCATTGCACATTCCATTTCCTTCTTTTGGTAGAAAAACATCAAATTTGATTTTTTCACAATTACTTTGAGCTGAGAATAACCTTTACAATGGCACCGCATCAGTAGAAAGATACAACAAAAGCACACAAACACCCTCTAACAATCTAGGCACAGAGAAGGAGAAATATGGCTTGAAGTACTGACAACAAAAAATATCAAATCACAAACCATGCAATCATCTAACCCCAGAAACTTACATTTTTGTAATATCTTTTACCCTAAAGTATCTCAAGGCATCTAAGATTGATATAGAGGGAATACAATCTTTCACGGACTGAAATGTAGCCACCTTTCTAATGGAGCACCACAAGTGCTATATAATAGTTTAAAAGCACTACATCCTGTTGAAATGTACAAGGGTAATTTAGGTAGGCAGGGTGTGATCACTCAGATTAAAACATGGTTGGTACATGAATTTAGATACAGGTTTTTGGTTTTTTTTACTCTTAAGAAAAGGCTCTGGTATTACCACATGAACGCAGATATAGAACCTCAGTGCTGCAGTTTCTCTGAAAGATGCCACTTCCAGCAGTAGGGTATCCACTGTTACCACATTAGAGCATTACTTTATAGTTAGTGGCTACCTATTAAATTATTAACACCATGACTTCTTACAGAACTCTGATGTCCTCCCGAGCACTCTCATTCCAGTACTAATCCAACCTGAACCTACTTAACTTGAGACATCCACAGGAGTCACACAGCAAGAGGCAACATTGTGTGTGCTTTTTGGTAAGAGCTATTTTTTCCCCTGAAGGCATAGCAAGCAGAACAGGCCCAAGCTCTGTTCCGTCACCAGCATAGAATCCCATGGTTTATAGGACTCTGCAGAAGCAAGGATAGAGGGCGAGTCATGAGATACATAATAGACGTACATCTCAATGAGCCACAGTGATTATATGGTAAATGACTTTTCTTCTTCAATAATTTGCTTAGAAGGATCCTATTTGTAGTGACTAGTATGTAGATACTGCCTGGACTTATATTTAGGTGCTAGGTGCTTATTTTCTTTCTTTTTTTTTTTTTTTTACAAGAGCTGCAGGACAGCTCTGATCTGAAACCTAGAGAAACATGGAACAATCCCCAGGCAACTGCCCTATACATTTCTGTAATAGGGATGCTTCTCAAGGAAATAGTGGAAGCTGCTTAAGCGCTTATAGAGTGAGCTGTGATGTGCAAAGGTAGATCTAACTAGAATAACTTGTAGTACCATAGAAAAGTAGGGTGAGAAGGGACCTCATAAGGTCATCTGGTCCAGCCCCCTACTGTAAGTAGATTTTATACAGAGATACACATTAGACAGTCTTTGGGAAGATATGGCCTGATATTTTAACTTTCTCTGCAAAGGTCACAATTTAGGGGAGTTCCTAAAATGCCTTAAGCCAACATGACACTACTCACATCACATCAAGGGACAGCAGTTTAACTTCCCTTTGTTTTGAATTAGACTTGGATGAGGAAAATTTGGAAGTAAATAAATCAATTCCTAAATTCCTAAACAGAAATGGGAAATAAGGCCAAAGAGTTACTTGGACGGGGGGTGAGGAAAGAGATGCTTTGCATGCAAAGCACACGGCTCCAAAGTCCAGAATTTTTTTGCGCAGCTGATTTTTTTGGCAGGGACCACATACCCTAGGCCTGTAACAGCTCCAAGTAAATCTCTATCCTCAAGTGGAAGGAGTCTTGATTAGCAAGAGTAAGAAAAGGGGTTCTCTACTACAAGCTTAAAAAAATGGGTCTAAGTTGGATTTTTCTCCCTTTATTTTGAGGTTCAGAGTAGCAAAGAGCTTCTCAATTACATAGATTAAGCTGTTTTCCTGTTGGGGTAATTTCCTTCTAATGCAAAAATGATCAACGTATGGATATACCTTGATATCCTGCCATCTCAAATAAGCTGCTTCAGCAGTTATGTACTTAGTGAAAACCCTCAGCATTGTGGAAAGTGCAGAGTGGGACAGTGCAGAGTTGGTAGCGAGCCTTCTCCTGTAAAGAATTTGAAGTATTTTGCATGTGCTGGGTGGAAGAAGAGGTAGAAATTGGTATCTTGAGTCTCAAGAAGTGCAAACCAAGCTTGTGTATCTAATGAAGGGATTACAGAGGCCAGAGTTACCACTCTGAATTTGAAACAATGAATGCACTTGAAACTGTGAAGGTTCTGGGCAAGGTACTAGCTCCCTTCCTTCTTTAGGCTCAGAAAGTTTCCCATGCCCATGAACTCTAAAGTGACTTCCTCCACTGTTCAGAGATGTAGAAGTGTCCAACTGAGTGTCCTGTGAGATGGGTTCTTGAAGGGGTCAGGGAAAATGTCTAGAGGATAGGAAGGGCCTGGAGTTGTTTGCAGTACTTCTTGCAAACAAACCAAAGGTTCCTGTTGATGCTAGCAACAAGACTTGTGAGAAGGGGCAAAATGCTTGCCACAAGGGGGAGAATGAGTACCCCATGGATTCTGCTCGGCTATTGACTATGATGCTATAACAGGGGGCCTTCTCCGGGGCCAATCTACCAATGCCCTGCCCACCTGTTCTGGGAAAACCGCCCACCTTCTCGGCTGCCATGCCTTGTTATCTAATTAAGTTGTTAATTAGGTGGGAGGTTGCCCATTACTTGCCCCGATGCCAGGGGATCTTATCTGTGGCTCCATTCCTCCCCTACACCACAGCCCAAGTCTCGCAGATGGCATCCACTGTTGTCAATATCACTGGCCTCACTCTGGGCCCCAGAATCCTCCAATTAGAACCCCACCTGGATCCCTCCGCTCAGGTGGCCTACTCCGCCTTCATCCTAGGCTACCTAGCTCCCTGAGCTGTTCCCCCTTACAGGTGTGGTCCCCCTGGGACCTTTGGCTACACTGGCCATGGCCTCACCTCCAGGACAGTCGGAATCCCAGGCCCTCTGCTCTGGGTGTCCCTCGTGGTGGGTTCCTGGCCCTTTGA